GACATCTGAAATGTTGACCTTTTAATGCGTTCTCCCCGAACTCGATAACATTGCCTTTAAATCCCGGCCAAGGTTGTAAGGCTTTTCACTATAATATACTGTATCAGTTGTGTGCTCAAGCTTTTTACGCTGACTTTACAATAAATGTTAACGTTTCCAAGTTTTAAAGTCAGATACAGTTCTACTAATCTTGGCAGAACAGAACAGAACATCTCTCTTATGTTACGTAGTCTATCCACGAGAACAGAACATCTCTCTTATGTTACATAGTCTATCCACGAGAACAGAACATCTCTCTTATGTTACGTAGTCTATCCACGAGAACAGAACATCTCTCTTATGTTACATAGTCTATCCACGAGAACAGAACATCTCTCTTATGTTACGTAGTCTATCCACGAGAAATTACAGTACATCAACACACATTTTATGGTTCTTGACTGGTTGGTTTATTTGGTAATGCAGGTAGTAGGTAGCACCTTTCTGTTTTATCTGCCTTTCTGCTTCCTGTCCATGACTTAAAGACTGGTTCAGGTTGAGTTGTAATACTGTGTTGTTTTAAAGGTAATGTATTAGGTTCCTGTATTGTTTTAAAGGTTATGTGATAGGTTCCTGTGTTTTCAAGGTAATGTATTAGGTTCCTGTGTTGTTTTAAATGTAATGTATTAGGTTTGTGTGTTTTAAAGGTAATGTATTAGGTTCCTGTGTTTTCAAGGTAATGTATTAGGTTCCTGTGTTGTTTTAAAGGTAATGTATTAGGTTCCTGTGTTGTTTTAAAGGTAATGTATTAGATTATTGTGATGTTTTAAAGGTCATGTATTAGGTTCCTGTGTTGTTTTAAAGGTAACGTATTAGGTTCCTGTGTTGTTTTAAAGGTAAAGTATTAGGTTCCTGTGTTGTTTTAAAGGTCATGTATTAGGTTTGTGTGTTTTAAAGGTAATGTATTAGGTTCCTGTGTTGTTTTAAATGTAATATATTAGGTTCCTGTGTTTTAAAGTTAATGTATTAGGTTCCTGTGTTTTAAAGGTAACGTATTAGGTTCCTGTGTTGTTTTAAAGGTCATGTATTAGGTTCCTGTGTTGTTTTAAATGTAATGTATTATGTTTGTGTGTTTTAAAGGTAATGTATTAGGTTCCTGTGTTGTTTTAAATGTAATGTATTAGGTTTGTGTGTTTTAAAGGTACTGTATTAGATTTGTGTGTTGTTTTAAAGGTAATGTATTAGGTTCCTGCTTTGTTTTAAAGGTACTGTATTAGGTTCCTGTGTTGTTTTGAAGGTAATGTATTAGGTTCCTGTGTTGTTTTGAAGGTAATGTATTAGGTTCCTGGGTTGTTTTGAAGGTAAAGTATCCAAAGGTATACAGACACACAACACAGTCAGTCAGTCAGTTGTTTAATCTGTAATAGACTAATGAATATCCCTCATCTCAGTCTGGCATAATAATCCCTTAGCACCTGGAAACATTGGGCATGAAATATTATTCACTTTCTGGTGAATGCGCTCTCTGCATATTCTGACCTTGAATTTAAGCATGAGAATAGCATGCTATTCAGTCGGGTTGGAGATCTAAGAAATTAAGTTGTGATGGAGGTGTGTCTACAGATATGCTGTATTCTGACCTTGACTTCATTCCATCATAATTCCACCACCTGTCAACAACATTCTAACTAAAAGGTACACCGTATTTAAAGGGATGGCTTAAGATAAATGTACTGAAAACCCCTTTGAATAAAAACAAGATGAGAAATGAGAAAATCTGTTGGCCAGCAAGTGGGGGGGGATTTTCAGTGGTTGAATGAAATTTATTCAGAGCGCACGGTAGCCACACCTGCAGAGTGCATTATGTGACTGAATAAGCGAAGTCTGAATACCAAATACTGAGAAGTGCGTAGGAAAGGCCAGCGTAGGAAGGTGTAAATTCCTAAGTCGGAATCGGCCCCTTTGTGTACAAGCAAATCCAAACTATATCCTCATAGGAGATCCAAACCATGTCCTCATAGGAGATCCAGACCATATCCTCATAGGAGATCCAGACCATATCCTCATAGGAGATCCAAACCATATCCTCATAGGAGATCCAGACCATATCCTCATAGGAGATCCAAACCATATCCTCATAGGAGATCCAGACCATGTCCTCATAGGAGATCCAGACCATGTCCTCATAGGAGATCCAAACCATATCCTCATAGGAGATCCAAAACAGCCTCAAATCCAAACCATGTCCTCATAGGAGATCCAAAACAGCCTCAAATCCAAACCATGTCCTCATAGGAGATCCAGACCATGTCCTCATAGGAGATCCAAAACCATGTCCTCATAGGAGATCCAAACCATATCCTCATAGGAGATACCAGACCATATCCGCATCGGAGATCCAAACCATATCCTCAATGGAGAGATCCAGAACAGCCTCAAATCCAAACCCATATCCATCATAGGAGATCCAGAACAGCCTCAATCCAAAACCATATCCGTCATCGAGATCCAAACCATATCCTCATAGGAGATCCAGAACAGCCTCAAATCATAAAGAGTAAGACCATTAGATGAGCACTGTGTTTTAAAACATGGCATAATCAGGCTGAATGACAAACTGGACTAGGGATGGATGGTTTAACACTTGAGAATTAAAACGCTAATCATTTTAGATATTCCATCTACACAGATGTTCACGTATGATCTGGTAGTAGAACTGCGTGGAGATCACAGAGGCTTCCTTTACCTTTGTGCCATAATGGCTTCTGTGACAGCATGGGCTTTCTCTATTTTAAAGTAGTCAACGTCTTCCTCTACTACTTCTAATGAGTTGGTTAACAAACACAGGGGGGCCCTGGATAATGAACAGGTACTGCCACCTGGAGACTGAACAGGTACTGCCACCTGGAGACTGAACAGGTACTGCCACCTGGAGACTGAACAGGTCTGAACAGGTATAAAGCCAAGGTTGGTGACTTACTGACACCTGCAGTTATGGAATGTTTGCTCAGGAGTATAATTCATCGGCTGATCCCTCCTGATGACCCGGATGGAATCATGTGATCTTTCCTTAACCAATAGGAAGTCCCAACCAGTCGACTACTTAAAAATGGTGAAAGTCCTCAATGGCGTGCTAAAGTAGGCTTTTAGGGCACTAGAGTTGTCTATCGAAGTCTCCGATGGAGATGCAGTAGGATGGTTCTCTGACTGAAGAAGGCTTTTAGGGCACTAGAGTTGTCTATCGAAGTCTACGATGGAGATGCAGTAGGATGTTTCTCTGACTGAAGAAGGCTGTTAGGGCACTAGAGTTGTCTATCGAAGTCTACGATGGAGATGCAGTAGGATGGTTCTCTGACTGAAGAAGGCTTTTAGGGCACTAGAGTTGTCTATCGAAGTCTCCGATGGAGATGCAGTAGGATGGTTCTCTGACTGAAGAAGGCTTTTAGGGCACTAGAGTTGTCTATCGAAGTCTCCGATGGAGATGCAGTAGGATGGTTCTCTGACTGAAGAAGGCTTTTAGGGCACTAGAGTTGTCTATCGAAGTCTCCGATGGAGATGCAGTAGGATGGTTCTCTGACTGAAGAAGGCTTTTAGGGCACTAGAGTTGTCTATCGAAGTCTACGATGGAGATGCAGTAGGATGGTTCTCTGACTGAAGAAGGCTTTTAGGGCACTAGAGTTGTCTATCGAAGTCTCCGATGGAGATGCAGTAGGATGGTTCTATGGAGATGCATTGGATGGTTCTCATGACTGAAGAAGGCTTTTAGGGCACTAGAGTTGTCTATCGAAGTCTACGATGGAGATGCAGTAGGATGGTTCTCTGACTGAAGAAGGCTTTTAGGGCACTAGAGTTGTCTATCGAAGTCTACGATGGAGATGCAGTAGGATGGTTCTCTGACTGAAGAAGGCTTTTAGGGCACTAGAGTTGTCTATCGAAGTCTACGATGGAGATGCAGTAGGATGGTTCTCTGACTGAAGAAGGCTTTTAGGGCACTAGAGTTGTCTATCGAAGTCTACGATGGAGATGCAGTAGGATGGTTCTCTGACTGAAGAAGGCTTTTAGGCACTAGAGTTGTCTATCAAGTCTACGATGGAGAATGCAGTAGGATGGTTCTCTGACTGAAGAAGCTGTTAGGGCACTAGAGTTGTCTATCGAAGTCTACGATGGAGATGCAGTAGGATGGTTCTCTGACTGAAGAAGGCTTTAGGGCCTAGGCCCTAGAGTCTAAGAGTTGTCTATCGAAAGTCTACGCTGGAGATGCAGTAGGATGGTTCTCTGACTGAAGAAGGCTGTTAGGGCACTAGAGTTGTCTATCGAAGTCTACGATGGAGATGCAGTAGGATGGTTCTCTGACTGAAGAAGGCTTTTAGGGCACTAGAGTTGTCTATCGAAGTCTACGATGGAGATGCAGTAGGATGGTTCTCTGACTGAAGAAGGCTTTTAGAAGAATTAGGTCTTCTCCTGGAGCACCTTTCAAAACTAGACAATAAAACTAACATTTCATTCATAACTTCATTCAAACATTCATGAAAAGCTTGCACATCAATAAATCAGACATTAAGACTAGTTGTATGAAATCCTATGACTTGTTCTTCTGTCACGCAATCTAACATAATATACTCACATTTGAACAAAGAATCTAAAATAAGTTTGTTTTCAAAACAAAGCACTGAGTATTCCAGTATAATATAATAATAATAATAATAACAACAACAACAACAACAACAACAACAGCAACTCAGACATACACCAACACATTCACAATATAACTTGACTTTAGCATGGGTCCTTCAGTTAAGATCTGGACTGCTGCCTTGTGGAATTTTGTTTGGGATTTAGGCTTGTGATTTTGTGATGTTGGTTGTGATTGGTTGGTTGCTTTGTGATGTGATGATGAACAGGGGGTTCTGATAGGTAGCTAGGTGATAAAGGGTGATTGGTTGTCCCATTGTTGAACATGGTGAGACACATCCGCCCCTCTCTTTGGTTTGTACATGGGTCTGGAACAGATTGGTGTGTTGCTAGGCGGATGATGAGATCTGATTGTTGAACTGCCCTGGGTATTTCTCAAACCTCCTCTCTGCCTCCTCACTGAAGGCATCACCTGTAGGGGCAATGACACAACAGAACACAACAGTCAGAGACAGAAACCAATGGAAGAGTCTGGAACAAACTAGGGCATTGTTTCCCAAACCTCTCGAGTTCCCCCCAGCCAGTCCACGTATGTGGAACTAGCTGATTTAACTAATGAGGGGCTTGATGATTCGGTGACCATTTGAATCAGCGGTGCTAGTTCTGGAATAGATTAAATAAGTGGACTGGCTGGGGGGACCTGGAGGAGAGGTTTGGACTGGCTGGGGGGTACTGGAGGAGCTGGCTGGGGGGGTCCTGGAGGAGAGGTCTGGCTGGTGGGGGGTCCTGGAGGAGAGGTCTGGACTGGCTGGGGGTACTGGAGGAGAGGACTGGCTGGGGGGTACTGGAGGAGAGGTCTGGCTGGGGTACTGGAGGAGAGGACTGGACTGGCTGGGGTACTGGAGGAGAGGACTGGACTGGCTGGGGGGTACTGGAGGAGAGGACTGGACTGGCTGGGGGTACTGGAGGAGAGGACTGGGACTGGCTGGGGGTACTGGAGGAGAGGACTGGACTGGCTGGGGGGTACTGGAGGAGAGGACTGGACTGGCTGGGGGGTATTGGAGGAGAGGACTGGACTGGCTGGGGGGTATTGGAGGAGAGGTCTGGCTGGGGGGTACTGGAGGAGAGGTTTGGACAGGCTGGGGGGTACTGGAGGAGAGGACTGGCTGGGGTTACTGGAGGAGAGGTCTGGACTGGCTGGGGGGTACTGGAGGAGAGGTTTGGACTGGCTGGGGGGTACTGGAGGAGAGGTCTGGACTGGCTGGGGGGTACTGGAGGAGAGGTCTGGCTGGGGGGGGGGAGGTTTGGGAAACATTGAACTAGAGATATGCCTGAAATGGCACCCTATAGCACTAGACAAAACGTAGTGCACTATATAGGAAACAGGCTGCCCTTTAACACCCACTCTAGGTCAGTTTTCCATGGACTATCTTTCAAATGACAAATCTAGAGGTGCAGCTGCTCACCCATATGGCAGTTGTGAAGCCAAATCCGGTGGCCGTCGTATTTGCAGTTGCATTTCATGGCGTTGTTGGTGAAGTCGCTCTCTGCCACTTCAAAGTTTGGATTGATCACAATCTGAAATGATGGAACATCAAACAGAATAAGTAAATAATATGGAGTTCACATCATCACGTTCCTGTAATTCTGTCACTCCGTAGTCTGCACTTAGTCTTGCGCTCCCTCCAGGGACTCAGTGAGTTTTCAAAGGGTCCAATTAAATGCGGACAGAATATTGGCAGCACACTCAAATGTGTAGTTTGCAATATTTATAACCTCACGCAGTTTCATGTTTTGGAAGTTTAGTCTGATTCAGGGCCTCCCTAGGATGTTTTAACAGCAACAGAAGACAAGGTTGTTCACCTGTAAGATGTAGTTTCCTGGTTTGATGTCGGTGATGTCGATCCACTGGCAGTCGATGTCATGGCGATACAGGTCCCAACACCCCACGGTGATGCCCTGCTCTCCAAAGTTAGCACACTCATACCTCTTAGAGATACCTGGAGAACACAGATACACTCATACCTCTTAGAGATACCTGGAGAACACAGATACACTCATACCTCTTAGAGATACCTGGAAAACACAGATACACTCATACCTCTTAGAGATACCTGGAGAACACAGATACACTCATACCTCTTAGAGATACCTGGAGAACACAGATACACTCATACCTCTTAGAGATACCTGGAGAACACAGATACACTCATACCTCTTAGAGATACCTGGAGAACACAGATACACTCATACCTCTTAGAGATACCTGGAGAACACAGATACACTCATACCTCTTAGAGATACCTGGAAAACACAGATACACTCATACCTCTTAGAGATACCTGGAGAACACAGATACACTCATACCTCTTAGAGATACCTGGAGAACACAGATACACTCATACCTCTTAGAGATACCTGGAGAACACAGATACACTCATACCTCTTAGAGATACCTGGAGAACACAGATACACTCATACCTATTAGAGATACCTGGAGAACACACAGATACACTCATACCTATTAGAGATACCTGGAGAACACAGATACACTCATACCTCTTAGAGATACCTGGAAACACACAGATACACTCATACCTCTTAGAGATACCTGGAAAACACAGATACACTCATACCTCTTAGAGATACCTGGAAAACACAGATACACTCATACCTCTTAGAGATACCTGGAAAACACAGATACACTCATACCTCTTAGAGATACCTGGAGAACACAGATACACTCATACCTATTAGAGATACCTGGAGAACACACAGATACACTCATACCTATTAGAGATACCTGGAGAACACAGATACACTCATACCTCTTAGAGATACCTGGAAACACACAGATACACTCATACCTCTTAGAGATACCTGGAAAACACAGATACACTCATACCTCTTAGAGATACCTGGAAAACACAGATACACTCATACCTCTTAGAGATACCTGGAGAACACAGATACACTCATACCTCTTAGAGATACCTGGAGAACACAAATTACACCAACTGGACTTCTAACACCAATAATTACACATCCTCCAAAACCAGATACAGAATGTTCCACCTTGAATGTTGGATAAGATATCCCTGATCTTAACACCCAAATAAAGACTATGTTTGATTGGCTGGCCCTCTAGTAGAGTATGTTTTGATTGGCTGGCCCTCCTGTTAAGGCTGTTTTGATTGGCTGGACCTCCAATAGTCTACTCTGATTGGCTGGACCTCCAGTAGATTCTGTTCTGATTAGTTTGCCTCCCAGACTCACCTTCGTGACACTCTGTGTCCTCCAGACAGAAGGAAGCCTTGTGTCCCTCAGCCACCTTGGTCCCGTTGGACGACAGCAGGTCATAGTGGGTGAAGATATCCATGCTGTGGTAGTGGCTGCGTAGGGAAAAGAAAACAGTTGAACCTCAGATCTGAGAGTATAGGCCAGGGGTATTCAAATCTTACCCTACCAGCAATGTTCTCTCTAAGCTGCGTGCGTGCGTGCATACGTAGTAGCCCCGAGACTGTCGCTCAGAAATATCAGCCCACAGAGAGAAGCACCAGAAATATCAGCCCACAGAGAGAAGCACCAGAAATACCAGCCCACAGAGAGAAGCACGAGATTGAGCTTCACCCAACTTTCTAGACCAGTGGTCACCAACCAACCGGTCCATCTCCAAGGCATTCCTAGTCCATCGCCAAACGTTTCTGTAAAAAACCCAACGATAAAGCCTTGTGTTCCTATTTGTATTTATTAGTCTCAGGCTGTTGGCGCTAGGTGCACCCGATTCAGCTGCCCTGCGCGCCGGGTAGGAGAACTGTTGCTATTTTGAACCATTTCATGTGTCTGAAGGTACAAACTCTGCCTTCCCGACGGGCCCAGAGAGCAAATCAAGCGCACTGTAAGTCCACCGCTGGCCAGTCGGATGGCTCAGATGACCGTGTCCGCAGTAACGTAGCAGGCGTAAAATAAAGCTACAGCGAAGTTGATACTGTGAGATTTAAAAACGTTTAAAACCGTGACTAGAGAGAGACTGTCAACGAATACAGCAAAGAGATGTTGTTTTTATGAATGAGTTCATATTTAAGTCCTTACTCAGCACTGTCAACACTTTGTATTCAACACTTTTATAAGCCATAAAATGCGCGTTCTTCCTATTTCCACTTTCCATTTGCTTGTGTTGTTATTATTAGCGGGTCTTTTTTAATATCGAGGAATATTTCACTTTCTCTGTTCATAGAAGTAACAACATGAATTTGTGCACGAGGCAGAAATAATGTGGTGCGACTCGAGTTTTGCCATCAGCTGGAGGACGGTGTCCCTTTTTGGTCAGTGTCAGTGGAGGAAAGGGAGAGAGGAGGGATGTTGAGAGGCAGTGGAGGAAAGGGAGAGAGGAGGGATGGTGAGAGGCAGTGGAGGAAAGGGAGAGAGGAGGGATGGTGAGAGGCGGACCCTCAGTCTGCTGCTCTCTCCCTCCGCTGAGACTGACCATCAGATGCAGGCACCATCAGCCCAGGCACCATCAGCCCAGGCACCATCAGCCCAGTGTTGGGTTCTATTTTTCTCATAATTGGATCTGTATGTGATGAATAGCTTAGAAGGAATGCATTAGTTTGAACTGTACTGATATAAATTGTTTCACATAACAGGCTGTGATTCATGTGGGGAACGTTTGGGGCTAGGATGAGATAAGACTTGTATTTCTCACAGATACGAACACTCTCTCTTTGTTGTCTGTGAAACCGTCCTTGAACGTGGGTACATGGAGTACAGTGGAATGGTGTCTTTTGGGTGCAGGTTATTATGATAGCAACTTATGCCTGGCAACAGTGTGCAACAAATGGAGTGCCGAGGGGTGGGACTAACCCGTGCACCAACGGATTGGCTGAGTAAAGTCTAAACCACACTCAGTCCTTTACTCTGATTGGCCAACAGAAGAGGTGGGAACTATCTGTCAGAGTATTTGAAGAAGAACTTAGAACAATGGATCAGTTCTCTGAGTGCCCTGCGTGGTATCTCAGCGGACCCGTATATACGAACCTTCATACTTATCATACATACATTTTGCATATAATAAATTAAGCTTGGATTGAAGATCTCTTGATTCTTATTCCAATACCAGATTTGAATTACGCAATTTCTAACAATTGTAAAATAACAAGCTAATTATTTAAATGTATGCTCACTCAGCTGTGCCTCACAAGTAATACAACAACGGATCTATTACCGATGTGATCATATAGCCTCAAAATGGCCCAAACAACAATGCATTCATTGGCAGGACAATTCAAGCAAAGCCAATATGTAGTGATAATGTACTGGGCCCTATAGCCTACTGCACAAACCTCATCGCTACAGAACTGTTGTTAATTAGTTAATGTTGCATAGACTTACGTTTTTTAAGTCAATCTGAGAGGTAGATCTCGGCTTGCATTTTGACTCAAAGTGAATCTTGACTCAGAAAAGGTTGGTGACCACTGTTCTAGAGTTTCCCCTGTTAACATTATCAACGTTTCCCTTTACTGTGGCAACTGTGATCGAATCAACGCCATATTAACCACTTTCAATGCAACATACCGAAATAAAAACTAACTATGCAAGAGATTTTGTTGTAGGCAGAACGCATCGGAGTAGGATTCTATTGCATTTTAATAATTTAATATGCCATTTAGCAGACGCTTTTATCCAAAGCGACTTACAGTCATGCGTGCATACATTTTTGTGTATGGGTGGTCCCGGGGATCGAACCCACTACCTTTGCGTTACAAGCGCCGTGCTCTACCAGCTGAGCTACAGAGGACCACGCATTGACAGGCACGACTCAGCCCGTACTCTACAAAGACCTGTGCAGTATAACCAATTAGAGCTGCAGTAGGCCTACAGTGGGGAAAAAAAGTATTTAGTCAGCCACCAATTGTGCAATTTCTCCCACTTAAAAAGATGAGAGAGGCCTGTAATTTTCATCATAGGTACAAGTCAATTATGACAGACAAATTGAGAAAAAAAAATCCAGAAAATCACATTGTAGGATTTTTAATGAATTTATTTGCAAATGATGGTGGAAAATAAGTATTTGGTCACCTACAAACAAGCAAGATTTCTGGCTCTCACAGACCTGTAACTTCTTCTTTAAGAGGCTCCTCTGTCCTCCACTCGTTACCTGTATTAATGGCACCTGTTTGAACTTGTTATCAGTATAAAAGACACCTGTCCACAACCTCAAACAGTCACACTCCAAACTCCACTATGGCCAAGACCAAAGAGCTGTCAAAGGACACCAGAAACAAAATTGTAGACCTGCACCAGGCTGGGAAGACTGAATCTGCAATAGGTAAGCAGCTTGGTTTGAAGAAATCAACTGTGGGAGCAATTATTAGGAAATGGAAGACATACAAGACCACTGATAATCTCCCTCGATCTGGGGCTCCACGCAAGATCTCACCCCGTGGGGTCAAAATGATCACAAGAACGGTGAGCAAAAATCCCAGAACCACACGGGGGGACCTTGTGAATGACCTGCAGAGAGCTGGGACCAAAGTAACAAAGCCTACCATCAGTAACACACTACGCCGCCAGGGACTCAAATCCTGCAGTGCAAGAGGTGTCCCCCTGCTTAAGCCAGTACATGTCCAGGCCCGTCTGAAGTTTGCTAGAGTGCATTTGGATGATCCAGAAGAGGATTGGGAGAATGTCATATGGTCAGATGAAACCAAAATAAAACTTTTTGGTAAAAACTCAACTCGTCGTGTTTGGAGGACAAAGAATGCTGAGTTGCATCCAAAGAACACCATACCTACTGTGAAGCATGGGGGTGGAAACATCATGCTTTGGGGCTGTTTTTCTGCAAAGGGACCAGGACGACTGATCCGTGTAAAGGAAAGGATGAATGGGGCCATGTATCGTGAGATTTTGAGTGAAAACCTCCTTCCATCAGCAAGGGCATTGAAGATGAAACGTGGCTGGGTCTTTCAGCATGACAATGATCCCAAACACACCTCCCGGGCAACGAAGGAGTGGCTTCGTAAGAAGCATTTCAAGGTCCTGGAGTGGCCTAGCCAATGTCCAGATCTCAACCCCATAGAAAATCTTTGGAGGGAGTTGAAAGTCCGTGTTGCCCAGCGACAGCCCCAAAACATCACTGCTCTAGAGGAGATCTGCATGGAGGAATGGGCCAAAATACCAGCAACAGTGTGTGAAAACCTTGTGAAGACTTACAGAAAACGTTTGACCTGTGTCATTGCCAACAAAGGGTATATAACAAAGGATTGACAAAACTTTTGTTATTGACCAAATACTTATTTTCCACCATCATTTGCAAATAAATTCATTAAAAATCCTACAATGTGATTTTCTGGATTTTTTTTTCTCATTTTGTCTGTCATAGTTGACGTGTACCTATGATGAAAATTACAGGCCTCTCTCATATTTTTAAGTGGGAGAACTTGCACAATTGGTGGCTGACCAAATACTTTTTTTCCCCACTGTATATGCAAATAGACCATTGCCAAATATGGATCTGTGCCATTTACTTTCAACAGGACTGTGTTTACAGCATGAGCGGTCGTGAGTAGATGCGCTTGTTTTGAGATCAGAGCGAGAGCTGCATGTAGCCACGTGTGCACATTTTGTTCACATCCTTTGCTAGTTAGTGAGTTATTAGTTCAGTTATAGATCATTTATAGTCAACAATAGGGGAGTGATTGCTTCCTACAAGAGTACAACACGTGTACTTTTCTAGCCATCTTTGAAAAGCCAGTCAGGTAAAGAGCTTTGTTTTTGTCTTAAAGGGGCAGTGTTGTATTTTGAGACAGGCTTGAATAAGCTAAATAGCCAATAGGCAGAGGGTAGCTTAATTTGTCTGATTCTCAGTAATAATGGTATGTGAATAACAATGCATTTTATTTTGTAAAGTGGTTTCTTGCATCAAACAACACAACATTTTCAGTCACCTCCTTGTCTGAAGGACTAGTGAATAAACAGGTTCATGTCAAGCCCTGCATATAAAAATAAAAATAAAATATCATGGAATGTAGGGCTACACTGAACACCACCCATTGGCTGCTACTGTAGGCTGAATGGTAGAACAGCTATTTCCATGTTAAAATGTTATGGGATGCATTTTCTCCTTTGTTTTTGACGGTAGGCCACTCTGGTAGGCCTACATTATGATCAAATAGCCACAGTAGCCTACTTGGCCACTGTTAAAACTGTAACTTAAAGCGGGTACAGCCACAGTGTTCACAGTAAACGCGCACCAGAAGTTTGCGCTCAGCAGACCTGAAATTTGTTCAGTGCCGAAAATAATTAGAGGGAACATTGCCTACAAGGTCCGGAGTGCTGACCTGGGCAGGGATTCAATCAAATCGTGTGTTGTAGAGAATGTGGCTTTTAAAGGCAATGTTTGCAGAGATTGCATTCACAGTAAATGGTGAATGTCAGCTCAATCGTAAATGTACTTTAAAGGGATAGTGCGAAATTCTGTCAATATTTTTATGTCTCCGCGTGCAGTATGAAGGAAGTCAGAGGTAGATTCACAAGCCAATGTTAACTAGCATTAGCGCAATGACTGGAAGTCTACAGGTACGCTAGCATACCGCTATCCCTTTAAAAGCTGCATTGTCTACAACCTGCGATCGTATAGATGGGTTGGTTGTTTAGCAACAAAACTGATGCGAGCGCAACTATGGGGCAAAAAACACACGGCTGGCTTAAATTGTTGACAACATGTAAGCTATATTTCATCTCCAATGTTTATTGAAAACATAAATACATTATGAGCACTTACTGTCTCAGACACATTGTTACAGTTGATAGTTAGCTAGCTAGCTAATTTTAGCCATATTAGCATTGACATGAAATCAGTCATGTTACGTTCCCCAGCAAGAAACCAAAAATTGTCGCACAAACAGAAGGGGGAACTAACAAAGAGTCACTAACAACCAAAACGAACAGGTGGAGTTCTAGGAGGGGTTCTGAAAGACAGTGATCGGGGGGTCCAGTGAAAGTTGACTAGCAACAACAACTGGGACCTAAAAGACACCCACCATGAGCGCCCAGTAAATAAACCTTGAAGTGCTGAAGAGCCAGTACCAAAGCGAGTGTCTCCTTCTCGATATCCGAGTAGTGTTTCTGATATGAGGCCAATTTCTTTGAAAAGTACCCCACAGGAGAACTCAATGTTGTTATCGTCTTTCTGTAGAGCACAGCTCCTACATCGCTGGCATCGGTATACAAAGAAAATGGACGACAGAAATCCGGAGCAGCTAACACCAAAAGGGTCTTTGTCTTCTCAAAAGCCTCCTGACAGTCGGGGCTCCAACGCAAAACGACTTTCAGACTGGTCAAATCTGTAAGTGGCTCAACAACCTGGGCAAAGTTCTGGAAAAAAGCCTGGTAGTAGCCAGCCATTCCCAAGAATCGGCACAGTTCCTGGCGAGAAGCTGGTACCGGAAGGTTATTGATGGCCTCCACTTTAGCAGGACCGGTCGGACTTTCCCTTACCCCACCACCTTCCAGAGATATTTGGGCAATTTCACTCGTTGACAGGTTAACTGCCAAGTTGGCAGCTAAGAAGCGCTCGAACAGACTCCTAAAATTCTGAAGGTGTTCTGGCCAGGTGGTACTAAATACCAACACATTGTCCAAATATGCCTCAGAATTTTCCAGACCACGTAGCACGATGTGAATGAGCTTTTGAAACGTAACTCGAACGGAAGACGAAGGTAGGAAAACAAACCATCAGGAGTGACAAAAGTCCAAATCTAATCAAATCAAATTGTATTTACCACATGCGCCAAATACAACAGGTGTAGACCTTACCGTGAAATGCTTACTGACAAACCCTTAACCAACAATACAGTTCAAGAAATAGAGTTAAGAAAATATGTAAAAATATTTACTAAATAAACTAAAGTTAAAGAAAACACAAAAAACAATAACAAGGCTATATACATAGCAGTGAGTAGCAGCAGTATAAAAAAAGGGGGGGGTCAATGTAAATAGTCTGGGTAGCCATTTGATTAGCTGTTCAGGAGTCTTATGGCTTGGGGATAGAAGCTGTTAAGGAGCCTTTTGGACCTAGACTTGGCGCTCCGGTACCACTTGCCGTGCGGTAGCAGAGAGAACAGTCTATGACTAGGGTGGCTGGATCTTTGACAATTTTTAGGGCCTTCCTCTGACAGTGACAGCCTGGTATAGAGGTCCTGGATGGCAGGAAGCTTGGCCCCAGTGATGTACTGGGCCGTACGCACTACCCTCTGTAGTGCCTTGCGGTCGGAGGCCGAGCAGTTGCCATACCAGGCGGTGATGCAACCGGTCAGGATGCTCTCGATGGTGCAGCTGTAGAACTTTTTGAGGATCTGAGGACCCATGCCAAATCTTTTCAGTCTCCTGAGGGAGAATAGGCTTTGTCGTGCCCTCTTCACGACTGTCTTGGTGTGTTTGGACCGTAATAGTTTGTTGGTGATGTGGACACCAAGGAACTTGAAGCTCTCAACCTGTTCCACTACAGCCCCGTCGATGTTAATGGGGGGGCGTGCTCGGTCCTCTATTTCCTGTAGTCCACGATCATCTCCTTTGTCTTGGTCACGTTGAGGGAGAGGTTGTTATCCTGGAACCACACGGACAGGTCTCTGACCTCCTCCTACTTACTTCCCTCATTAAAATGCAAATCAATTTATAACATTTTTGACATGCATTTTTCTGGATTTTTTTGTTGTTATTCTGTCTCTCACTGTTCAAATAAACCTACCATTAAAATTATAGACTGATCATCAACCGTACAAAATCAGCAGGGAATCCAGGCTCTGTCGTAGCCGGCCGCGACCGGGAGACCCATGGGGCGGCGCACAATTGGCCCAGCGTCATCCAGGGTAGGGGAGGGAATGGCTGGCAGGGATGTAGCTCAGTTGGTAGAGCATGGCATTTGCAACGCCAGGGTTATGGGTTCGATTCCCACAGGGGGCCAGTATAAAAAATTTATGCACTCACTAACTGTAAGTTGCTCTGGATAAGAGCGTCTGCTAAATGACTAAAATGTAAAAATGTAAATGTAAAATGTGGGATCAAATACTTTTTTCCCTTTTATTTTATTTGTTATAGAAAAATCATGTTTTTTTATCAGTTAGTATATTTGAGTTTAACCACAATATTTGTTGTATTATTTGTTCGTTCTTTTCTGGTGGATTAAACTGACATTTCAACCAACTTTCTATGACTTGTTTTAAAAATAGCGATATTTGGGAGATTATTTAATTTTCAAATAACCGAAAGTGCGAGGTTGTAATCTGAATAAAGGGAAAAAGGCCATTCTTGAACATTGGGTGAGACAATCTTACTAATTTGCTAGAGAACCAGTTTGGATTTAAGTATAACTTTTGTATGACTGAAGCTTTTAGTGATAGGTCTAATGCTTTAATATTTAATCATTTCTGTCCTCCAAATTCATATTCATTATATAAATAGGCCCTTTTAATTTTTTTGGCTTGTCATTCCAAATAAAATGGAATATGTTTTGCTCATATAATATAAAAAACAGGCGTAGGCAAGACCATAAGCAAATAGGTAAACTGGGATAATACTAAAGAGTTAATCAGGGTGATTTTTCCACAAATAGACAGGTATTTACCTTTCCATGGTAGCAAGATCTTATCTATTGTTGCTAACTTTCTATTAAAATGTATTGGAGTGAGAACATTTCTTTCTTTCGGGATATGTATTCCGAGTATATCCACATCACCATCAGACCATTTTATTGGTAAACTACATGGTAATGTATACATTGTATTTTTTAGTGATCCAATACGTAATATAGTACATTTATCATAATTTGGTTGTAATCCAGAGAGGTTAGAAAATGCATCTAGATCCTCTATGAGGCTGTGGAGGGATTCAAGTTGTGGATTTAAAAGAAAACATTAATCATCAGCGTACAATGACACCTTTGTTTTTAAGCCCTGGATTTCTAACCCCTTGATATTGTTGTTGGATCTGATTTTAACAGGATCTGATTTTAACAGCTAACATTTGCCAATAATAAATAGATATGCCGATAGTGGACAACCTTGTTTTACTCCTCTTGACAGTTAAAAAATTTCTGAGAAGTAGCCATTATGTACTATTTTACACCTAGGGTTATTATAATTCTTTAACCCATTTCATAAGAAATTCTCCAAAATTGAAATATTCCAGGCATTTATATATACACTCCAGTAGTACTTTATCAAAAACCTTTTCAAAGTCAGCTATGAATACCAGGCCTGGTTTCCCAGATATTTCCTAGTGTTCTATTGTTTCCAGTACTTGTCTTATATTATCTCCAATGTATTGTCCATGTAAAAAGCGCTATGCATTTTGATAGAATCTTTGCATCACAACACTGAAGTGTAAGGGGCCTCCAATTTTTTTAATGGACTGGATCTTTATATTTACCACTTGGGTACTGTCAAAGGTAATGTATTGCTAAAGGTAATGTAAAGATAATGTAATGTTAAAGGTGATGTACTGTCAAAAGTAATGTATTGCTAAAGGTAATGTAAAGGTAATGTTAAAGGTAATGTACTGTCAAAATGAATGTATTGCTAAAAGTAATGTTAAAGGTAATGTACTGTCAAAATGAATGTATTGCTAAAGGTAATGTTAAAGGTAATGTACTGTCAAAAGGAATGTATTGCTAAAGGTAATGTTAAAGGTAATGTACTGTCAAAAGTAATGTATTGCTAAAGGTAATGTTAAAGGTAATGTACTGTCAAAATGAATGTATTGCTAAAGGTAATGTTAAAGGTAATGTACTGTCAAAATGAATGTATTGCTAAAGGTAATGTTAAAGGTAATGTACTGTCAAAAGGAATGTATTGCTAAAGGTAATGTAAAGATAATGTAAAATGTCTTATTATACCATAAATACTCCCAACTGTTATTATGTTTGGAATATATATATATATATATATATATATATATTTTTTTTTTTAATCAAAAGTAATTAGCGGACCACCTGCATTACCCCAGCGGACCGCAGGTTGGAAACCACTGCTCTAGATTATTAGGTTGCCATAGTTACCCATGGCAGGCGTGCCAGACCCAGGAGTGGCGTCCAGCCTTGGGCCTGAAGTCGGCCCGTCCGATGTTGTGGATCTGAGAGGAGAACCGCAGCAGACGACGGTGTCCGTAGGGCCAGTTAGCGCTAGCGGCAGACTTAGACAGACAGTTCTCCTCCGCTGCACAGTACAACATGTGGAGGGGGCGGTCCTCGATGTACACCGACTGCTGGACCAGGGGAGCATTCAGGACCAGGTCAGACGCCGCTGGGAGGAGGAGGAGGAGGAGGAGGAGGAGGAGGAGGAGGAGAGTAACGGTCAAACTGGCAACATGTACTGTTCAGTAGTTTCCATAGCCACTTGTTCTATGTTGGCTGTTTAGAACAGTGGCGTCAGTTCAGCTAAACCTAGGATATGGCAGAGTGGGGGTGTGGGAAGCTCATTTACTGCAATTCTACACAATTTAAAAACTAAAATGCTATTTGGAGAACAGCAGAAACAAACAAAAATGACCCCAGCCATTAATGATCACTATCAGGTTAAAGGTCAGTGGATAGCCATTAATGATCACTATCAGGTTAAAGGTCAGTGGAACGGCCATTAATGATCACTATCAGGTTAAAGGTCAGTGGAACGGCCATTAATGATCACTATCAGGTTTAAAGGTCAGTGGAACGGCCATTAATGATCACTATCAGGTTTAAAGGTCAGTGGAACGGCCATTAATCATCACTATCAGGTTTAAAGGTCAGTGGAACGGCCATTAATCATCACTATCAGGTTTAAAGGTCAGTGGAACGGCCATTAATCATCACTATCAGGTTTAAAGGTCAGTGGAACGGCCATTAATCATCACTATCAGGTTTAAAGGTCAGTGGAACGGCCATTAATCATCACTATCAGGTTTAAAGGTCAGTGGAACGGCATATACAATGTCAGCCGCTACTCAACCTCATCATAAATTGACTCATTTACTTGTGGAATGGTGCGTACAGTGCAACGTGAAATAGATGCATAATACAGGCTATCAGGTCACAACAAGGCCACCTTAAAATACCGACATCCATAGGAGGCACGTGAGCTTCATGTTTGTGGAAGCTCTTTTTTCACCATAAAATTGCACCTTTATAATAAAGGATTGAATGCATCCATCGTCGCATTTGCAGGCTAATGTTAGATAGGCTAGTATTCCTAATGGGATGATTGGATCGTCATCATTCAGACTAATGTTAGGTAGTATTCCAATGGATGAGGATCGTCATCATTCAGATAATGTTAGATAGGCATATTCTAATGGATGATGGAAGTCATCATCAGAATAATGTTAATAGGCTAGATTCCTAATGGGATGATGGTCTCATCATAGACAATGGATAGAGTATTCTATGGATGATTGGATCGTCATCATTCAGACTATTTGATAGCTGTATTCTAAGGGATGTCGATGTCATCTTCGACTAATGTTAGAGGCTAGTATTCTAATGGGATGATGGATCGTCATCATTCAGACTAATGTTAGATAGGCTAGTATTCCTAATGGGATGATTGGATCGTCATCATTCAGACTAATGTTAGATAGGCTAGTATTCCTAATGGGATGATTGGATCGTCATCATTCAGGCTAATGTTAGATAGGCTAGTATTCCTAATGGGATGATTGGATCGTCATCATTCAGGCTAATGTTAGATAGGCTAGTATTCCTAATGGGATGATTGGATCGTCATCATTCAGACTAATGTTAGATAGGCTAGTATTCCTAATGGGATGATTGGATCCTCATCATTCAGGCTAATAATATAACTACATCCTGTAAAACTGGCTGAGCACATAGTGACAGAGTAGGCCTAATCAGACACGGTTCTTGTCCTTTCTTAGCATGGGAAAATTTGGCCTTTTATAAACACATTTCATGGAATTGTAACTACACTATATAATAGGAGTAGCTTACTCTACTGACACTAACGAACAGATCCGTCTGGAACCTAACCATCTAATCTAGCCCTACGAAAAGGGGAGACGCAAATTGGACAATATGACGTCCGTCTACCCTGGAGGAGGGGAATCATCCCCCCCCCCCCCCCAAAAAAAAAAAACGTTCCAGTGACCAGTGGAACTGATCCAATGATAAATAATATGCCATTTAGGCAGACGCTTTTATCCAAAGCGACTTACAGTCATGCGTGCATACATTTTTGTATATGGGTGGTCCCGGGGATCGAACCCACTACCTTGGCGTTACAAGCGCCGTGCTCTACCAGCTGAGCTACAGAGGACCACAAAACAATAAAGACAGTGAATATGCAAGCACTCAGCGGGTGTATGTCAGGAAGAGGCTACTGTTCACTCAATTGGGAGTTGAGAATCTCGATCAGTAGATTAGTATTTTCTTTGTCTTCTCTTTTCAGCAATAACCAGTTGCTTTTTAAACTATGCTTTTCCTATGATTGTATTTAGAAATATTGCAATAGGCCTATGCTTATTTAACTGCTTTTCAAAGACAGCTGCAACTCAGCCTACCAGATAGCGGATTGTTATTTGCCGTGCGCATTGCCCACATTGCTCGCTTAAAACAATTCACAGCAAATTCTTTAAAGAAGCTAATGATCCTCTGTGGCCAAATCATGCTCTCTGGTGTAGTATTTTGAATTATTTTATGTATTTATGTATAGGCACAAGTAATTATATAGCTAATTTTGGCTAATTGAAGTCAATTGACTTTAGGGGAAGCTTATCTCCCCCTAGCCTATAGGACGTGCCACCTATGCCCACATCAATGTGAAAGTAACTGGTGCATAAAACAGCTGACCGCGAGGCTTACAAGCCGGGTTCAAATGACACATCAAATTCAAAGCAATCGGCGCGCTGCCTAAACGGCTTGTCTGGCACTGTCTGATCCGAGACAAAGGTCTTCTCTCCGAGCGACGCTCCGCATGGTCCTAAAGCCATCCACCAATACGCTAAACAGCCGTCGCATTGGAATCAGGATTGGAATGATTTTTGTGTACCTTTTTAGTAGCTTTGTTGGTCTTGAGCTAGGCCCTACCATACCCAACTGACGCCCCTGCTGTTGGTCTTGAGCTAGGCCCTACCATACCCAACTGACGCCCCTGCTGTTGGTCTTGAGCTAGGCCCTACCATACCCAACTGACGCCCCTGCTTTACAATATCATCTTGGAACTGTGGGGATCTATTTTCTCATAATTGGATCTGTATGTGATGAATAGCTTAGAAGGAATGCATTAATGATAAGCATAGAAGGTTTGTACTGTACTGATATAAATTGTTTCACATAACAGGCTGTGATTCATGTAAGGAACGTTAGGGGGAAGGACAGATAAGACTTGTATTTCTTACAGATACGAACACTGCCTCTTTGTTGTCTGTGAACCGTTGTCTGTGAACCGTCCTTGAACTAGGTACTCACAGTACAGTGGAATGGTGTCTTTTGGGTGCTAACTCCACAGGTTGTTATGATAAAAACGTATGCCTGGCAACAGTGTGCAACAAGGGAGCGCCAAGGGAGCGCCAAGGGAGCGCCAAGGGCCTGGGACCAGCCGGTGCGCCAACGGATAGGTTGGGCAAGTCTAAACCACGCCCAACCTCTACCCTGATAGGCCCAGCAGAGAGCGGGAACTATCTCTGTCAGAGTATTTGAAGAAGAACTCAGAACAATGGATTAGTTCTCTGAGTGCCCTGCGTGGTATTTCAGTGGACCCTTATATACGAACCTTCATACTTATCATACATACATTTAGCATTTAATACATTTAGCTTGGATTGAATATCTCTTGATTATGTTTTCTCTTATTCCAATACCAGATTTGAATTACGCAATTTCTAACAGAACCCAGAACCAAATCTTGCATGTGCTGGCCAGCTACAGTCTGTCGTTACAGATGAGTTAAAGTGTAATAACGAATCAATACTTCATCTATAAGTGAAAACCTTGCGTAGTCTGTAACTCACACTGTCATTCTGATCACCAGTAGGCCTACTGTTTGTAGCGCTGACTGGAATATGTTTCCGAGACTCCGCCGATAACATCGACGTGCTAACAACCTCCGGTCACCGGCTTCATAAGGAAATGCATCGGCGACGTTGTCCCCACAGTGAAAGTTCGCTGCTTCCCGAATCAAAAGCTGGATTAACACCAAGGTTGGCGCTAAACAGAGCTACCGCACACATGGCCATCGCAGACCACCCTGAGGTTACGGCTGAGGACAGGAACAAGGACAGGAAGTCCCGCTACGACCTCCGCAGAGTCATCAAACGAGCAAAAGGACAATATAGTAATGAAGTAGAATCATATATATTTCTTAGGCACCGCTGCATGTGGCTGCAGTCCATTATGTATTTCATTTCCCCCTTTTTCAGAACCACTCTTGGTTAAAACAGTTGTCGAGCCATACCTTAAAGTGTCTTAGTCCATACACTGTGCTGGAATCCTACCTGTCTGTCATCTGTCCCTTTACAAGCACCCGGGAGAGAACACATTAAGTGCTATGAAAAGTGAATATCCAGCCCAACAGGTGCTTCGGGAACTCACTCTCTGAGCAGATGACCCCAGCAGAGAACTTGGCAGCAGTCTTCTGACAGCTGACGGTTCTGTGGTGCTGGCAGTGGCTCAGAGACATCTCGTTTCCTAAACAAAAGGGAGGGAACGTTATCACCCACTTTTATAAATGTACCAGTAAACTAATCAGAATTTTTGAAATTTCAAAGGATTTTAAGGAATTTTCATAAAATGTAACTCTATATAAATAAATAAATAAATATGTTTTTAATATAAATTCTGGTAACTTTGGTAAATTAACGGGAGTTTTGCGACCCTACCTGTACACTTCACACCACTCATCACCATCTCGGTTACGTTACTACTGTCCCAGTACCACGTTTCCTTAGCGACAGGGAAAACACAAACAAACACGGAAACAAACAGCAGGAGGATATTATTGAACCTTTATTAAGTCAGGAGACCTATATTTACGCTAATAGGTTATGATAATAATAATAATGATAATAATAATTGATTGGAGTGCTTTTCCTGTAGCTCAAAGCGCTTTACATACTAATGGTGAAAACGCAACTCTTCCTCATCCACCACCAATGTGTAGCACCCATCTGAATGATGCAACTCGTTTGTGCCAGAAAGCTCACCACACATCAGCTTGCATGGTGGAGAGGTGAGGAGTGATATATGTCAATTAGGTTAGCAATAGCTAGGTTTCCATCCAATTCGCAACAGATTTTCACATGAATAATCTAAAATCTGCATAAAAACAATCTGCCCATTTTCCCACAGAGATGTTTCCATCAAATTGACTTGTTGTGGATAAAAGGCTGTGTGAGGACGTAGTGCTCATAAAAATACCTTCTGTTGTTAAATTCCCCTGTACTGAATAAATAATACAAGTTAAATAGGTTTCAACTCTACTGATGGTTTAGTCCGAATAAATATGTTCTGTAGTGAATGAGCCTTGTCTGGTCTTGGCGCCGGCGCCCTATCCAGAAACAGTGGGGGTAGGCTACCTGCATGATGAGATCATTATGGACAAAGGAGGGAGATTATTTATATTTGTCAAACTGCAGCCAAGCATCGATCATCATGTCACCAGAATAAGACCTTCGATATTTATTGGAAAGGAGCATCAAGCTCATCACCGTGCACTTTCACCACCCTGTGAAGTTTATCATAATTTATTTAGTTAGTCTAATAAACTGCATGGTTTCCAATGAGCCGTAGTGGGAGGACCTCACACCATATCATTGCGTGACTCCAAGTTTACTTCGATATGATGGTTATTGTATTGATATTTGCGCATAAAGGCATTTCCACCGCCATTTGGCCCATCACATTATCTCTGAGAAGCATCATGTTACTGCTAAAACACATCTGATTACATTACATTACAGTACATTACATTACATTACATTACATTACATTAAGGTTATTTAGCAAATGCTCTTAATCCAAAACCAACTTGCAGTCAGTGCATTCAACTAAGGTAGGTAAGACAACCATGTATCACTTTCAGGTGACAAGGGAGTAGACTACTTTGACTAATATGAATTAGCCGTGGTATTTACTTTCTTGTCTCTCAGTATTCAAAGAAAAGAGAAACTGTTCTTCAAACTGCTCCTAACTTCGCTTGAATAAAAATATTGATATAAGCAGAGAGCAAGATAACTCAGATGTGCTTTTAATAATGTATCTGTCAGTCAGCCACCTGACATCTATGAGAGAATGGTAAGACAGTACAGCTGGGCGATAAAAGTCATATTGTGATTAAAATATTTTTTTTTTTTTTTTGTATTTTTATGGACAGTTACTTTCCATTAGCGGCAGGGCTCAGGACCATTTTTATTCCAGTGCCAAGTAAGACAACTGAGATGTTAGCCTAGCATTCAAAAAGTAAGCTATTTCATATAACACATCCATGATTGATATTTTGATGTGCAACCTGCCAAAATAGGATCCAGAATTAACCTATCAGATTTACTTTGGGCAATTCAGAGATTAATTTGCCGACATTGTAGGGCAGCCCCCGAAGTAACTCTCCTTATCTACTGTATGCAAGAATGTCCTCTGTGTTGTCTTAGGAATTCAGCATTCTCTGTGTTGTCTTAGGAATTCAGCGCTCTCTGTGTTGGTCTCTCCAACCCCCATTGAGAAGCAAAGGTTACATCCTGTAGGTCTGATATCTGATTGGAGGTTAACTTTACAGTAATACTATTGGTCAACAACTCAGGTTTTGAATCCAAACAATTCAGATTTTCTATCTCTCTCTCTCTCTCTCATAAATAAACAATAAAAATTAACAGTAAACATTACAATCAGAAGTTCCAATTCTCAGACCCATTCTTGCTAGTTAACGTCAACTCATTGTCTAATGCTTGCTTGTATATTTTAATGATCTTCATGGAGTCAGATAAACATTTTAATTGGCTAATTACTTAGACTTATTACGAGTCACATGTGATGTATACAGTGCATTCGGAAAGTATTCAGGCCCTTTACTCAGTACTCTGTTGAAGCACCTTTGGCAGCGATTACAGCCTCGAGTCTTCTTGAGTATGACGCTACAAGCTTGGCACACCTGTATTTGTGGAGTTTCTCCCATTCTTCTCTGCAGATCCTCTCAACCTCTGTCAGGTTGGATGGGGAGCGTCACTGCACAGCTATTTTCAGGTCTCTCCAGAGATGTTCGAATGGGTTCAAGTCTGGGCTCTGGCTGAGCCACTCAAGGACATTCAGAGAATTGTCCCAAAGTCACTCCTGCGTTGTTTTGGCTGTGTGCTTAGGGTCGTTGTCCTGTTGGAAGGTGAACCTTTTTACAAGCACGGTGGTGGCTGCATCATGTTATGGGTATGCTTGTCATCGGCAAGGACTAGGGAGTTTTTTAGGATAAAAAGAAACGGAATGGAGCTAAGCAAAGAAAACAAAAAAAAGGCTCAATCCTAGAGGGATTAAAACCTGGTTCATTCTGTTTTCCACCAGACACTGGGAGATGAATTCACCTTTCAGTAGGACAATAACCTAAAACACAAGGCCAAATATACACTGGAGTTGCTTACCAAGATTACATTGAATGTTCCTGAGTGGCCTAGTTACAGTTTTGACTCAAATCGGTTTGAAAATCTATGGCAAGACTTGAAAATGTCTGTCTAGCAATGATCAACAACCAACTTGACAGAGCTTGAAGAATTTTAAAAAGAATAATGTACAAATATTGTACAATCCAGGTGTGGAAAGCTCTTAGAGACTAACCCCAAAAGACTCACAGCTGTAACCGAGTGGCTCAGTGGTCTAAGGCACTGCATCTCAGCGGTCTAAGGCACTGCATCTCAGTGCTCGAAGCGTCACTACAGACCGAGTGGCGCAGCGGTCTAAGGCACTGCATCTCAGTGCTTGAGGCGTCACTACAGACCCCCTGGTTCGATTCCAGGCTTTATCACAACCGGCCGTGATTGGGAGTCCCATAGGGCGGCGCACAATTGGCCCAGCGTTGTCCGGGTTTGGCCGGTGTAGGCCGTCATTGTAAATAAGAATTTGTTCTTAACTGACTTACCTAGTTAAATAAAGGTTAAAAAATAATTATTATTTTTAAAAAAGCAAAAAAAATAAACGCTGCCAAAGTTGATTCTAACGTATTAATCCAGAGGATTAATTATTATCTAATTAATAATAATATTTTTTTTTATTTTTTTTTACAAATGTTCAAATTTTTCTTCCACTTTGAAAGATTATTTTGTATAGATCGTTGACAAAAAATTACAATTAAATCCATTTTAATCCCACTTTGTAACACAACAACATTTGGAAAAAGTAAAGGGGTGTGAATACTTTCTGAAGCACTGTAGGCTAATTGATTAATCTATCAGTAAATGTAATGTCCTACAAAAATGTTCCAGCGCTAGGCTAGTTGATGTAGGCCTATTCACTGCATCAAAACCATACTACATATCCTACTCCGGTTGTAAAGTGGTGCCATTAACTAAATAATGGGGAGGTGAGAAATAAATGATGTACTCGCAGAAAGCTGTGACTCTCCTCTCTGTAACTAGAACAACAGTAGTTGCTTTGAAAACTGTATTTTGTCCTCAATTGCACTTTGCTCAACGGTCATGTGCTTGTGCCCCTCAGAACGCATTTCTCTCCGTCCTCCGCGTCACAGTGAGTGTGGCTCCAGCTCGCTCACACAGCAGCCAATAGCAGAACATGGGACAGGCTGATACTTTCATTGCAGGAATCGACGTAATGCATTATGGGCTATTACTATTGACCAAATAATGGTTCTAGAACAATCTACAGGAACATTTTATAGAAGAAATCACAGAAAAATGACAGACGTAAGCAAAATGCTTCGGTAAGAGGAAGTCTGCCCCAGCTCTATAGCACAGTATCATACTTCCAACATACATCAGACTGAAGCTTTCTTCTTCTCCCAGTCTTACTCACAGTGATGGCATGCATGGAGTACCCCAGGCCTAGCTGTCTGCAGACTGCCTGCAGAGCACACCGTGCCCCACCGCGCCCCCACCTGAACCTCCACACGGCCCTCATAGTACGTCCTGCCTCCCACGATACGCACCTGCAGAAGGGGGCCCTAGGGGATGTCAGTGAGAGGGCACTTCCTGTCCTGTGTGTAGCCCAGCATTTCTCAACTCCAGTCCGAGAATACCCCCAACAGTACTGGTTGTTGATGTAGCCTCAGACCACCTTATTCAACTAGTAAGTGAATCATCAAGCCAGCCCTTGACTAGTTGAATCAGGTGAGTTTGTTCGGGGCTACAACCAAAGTGTGTACTCTTTCGGGCTGGTTCGAGGACTGGAGTTGAGAAACACTGCTGTAGCCTGGCTGTGTTCCCTCCAAAGTCTAGTCTGTGCTCAGTCCTGAGGGCCAGTGGATTGCTGATGCAGCAGCATCTGTGGGGTTAGTCCATAGACTCATAGAACAACATGTCAGGGTGAGTCATGGAGCGGGGAGCCACATTGGTTCCTTCCTGGTGGGTTGGGAGAACCAATGAGATGTCGCTACCTGGCATGTTATGGTTGGCTGTTGGGCTCATCCCCCCCCAGCCCCAGCAAGGGGATTGGTTGAGGAGGTTAATGTATTTGGAATAACACTCTCGTGATGAGGTAGCCTGAGAGAGGTTGTAAGTCCAAATGTCACCCTAGGGCCATGTTTAAGACGGTTCTCTAGCCATGAGGATTTCCTCTTGGTCCAATGTTTAAGACTAGTGGTATTCTAACGTTTTCAGCGGGGACTCCATTTTTTTCTGCCAGAATTTCTGGGGACCCCATTATTTCCCCAATTATTTTTTCACGACCCCACCCCAAATCTAATGAAACAACTTTAAAAATCGGTACATTTGGATTTTTACATCAACAAATAACCTTAAATTCATTGCATTTTCATCTCTTACCAAAAGGAAAATAAACCAATAAATACATTTACTCAATAAAGTTGTATTTTTCAAAATATATTTCTTAAAAACATTTGTATATTATCCCATACAATAATATGTACTCTTAATGTTTTGTTCCCCTAAAAATTATTATACATACTGAACAAAAATATAAACGCAACATGTAAAGTGTTGATCCCATGTTTCATGAGCTGAAATAAAAGATCCCGGAAATTTTCCATACGCACAAAAAGCTAATTTCTCTCAAATTCTGTGCACAAATTTGTTTACATCCCTGTTAGTGAGCATTTCACCTTTGCCAAGATAATCCATCCACCTGACAGGTGTGGCATATCAAGAAGCTGATTAAACAGCATGATCATTACACAGGTGCATCTTGTGCTGGGGACAATAAAAGGCCTCTCTAAAATGTGCAGTTTTGTCACACAACACAATGCCACAGATGTCAAGTTTTGAGGGAGTGTGCAATTGGCATGCTGACTGCAGGCATGTCCACCAGAGCTGTTGCCAGATAATTGAATGCTCATTTGTCTACCATAAGCCGCCTTCAACGCCGTTTTAGAGAATTTGGCAGTGCGTCCAACCGGCCTCACAACCGCAGACCATCAGTAACCACCCAGGACCTCCACAGCTTCTCAGACCAGCCACACGGACAGCTGATGAAAAGTCTTTCTGTCTGTATTAAAGCCATTTTGTGGGGAAAAACTCAGTCGACCCCGACTTTGAATACCACTGTTTGAGATGGTGGGTTCCCTAGCCAGAGGTCCCTAGCCAGAGGTCCCTAGAGGTCCCTAGCCAGAGGTCCCTAGCCAGAGGTCCCTAGCCAGAGGTCCCTAGCTAGAGGTCCCTAGCCAGAGGTCCCTAGCCAGAGGTCCCTAGCTAGAGGTCCCTAGCCAGAGGTCCCTAGCCAGAGGTCCCTAGCCAGAGGTCCCTAGCCAGAGGTCCCTAGCCAGAGGTCTGCGGAACAAATCCGAGGTTGGAGATTCATGTTAATTGCAGTCCATGGTTATAACCTGGTTTAAGCATGTTCTATTAGCACTGTAAAAGCCGTTAGCTTGGCTAATAGACCTACTTGCAGGCCGTGGTTAGCGTAGCCTAGCCCCAGCTGTCTGCAGACCACCATGGCCTCCTTGGTGCCCCAGGCCCCTCCACAGATCAGCCCCCAGCTCCTGGTCCCGTTAGCCTCCGTGCTCAGCACCTCCACCCGCCCCTCATAGCGCGTTCGCCCCCCTGTTAGGCGGATCTGTGGGGGGCAGACGGGTTAGAAAGCGGAGGGCGGGGAGAGGTAGTAAGGGAGAGTACGGCTGGCTGAACACAGGACGTTTATCCAGACATACAGTACTTTGATCCAATCAGTTCTGCCTTAACCCGCGATAACCGACAACAGCATGGCAGTTTCATTCTTTTGATTTAGGCGATGTTGGAGGTGTAACTGCATTGGAGCTGTCAAATCAGCAAGCGGCTCCCGGCGTTATACCCATTGCGGACATTGTCATTGGATGCACCGAGTCGTATTAGTAATAATCCCATGTAGCCTTGTTACCAGTTGGAACAGTGGAACGTTGTAATCTCCACCTCCATTATGTTGATGTCAGTATTATTGGAGCGTCATTATTTCTAGATAACCTACCTACACTTTCTCCTTCTGAACTTCTAACGTGAGTGGGACGATTGTGGCTTCATGACAACCACACCAGCAGTCGCTCACTGATGTGAAAGCTCTCATGCAGTTCCTCTGACACTGCCAAAACACCAGCTATCTCAGTTAACGCTTGATCTGATTGAATCTCAGCCTTTGTCCGCGTCCAAATGGCACCCTTTTCCCTATATAATGTACTATTTTTGACCGGGGTCCATAGGGCTTTGGTCAAAAGTAGTGCACTTTGTAGGGAATAGGGTGCATTTGTGACGCATACTTTGATTTAATGGTTAAAGGCATGCGTTTGATGAGAGTAAAGGACGTCATTACATACATCACATATTTAGGGTGCAATGATGCATCCAGGTTTAGAACTCTCATCACAATACTACTAACATTGTATTGAACATTATTGCAGCAAACACTCCTGTTCGATCAGGAATCTATTACCAATGTCAACACATCATTGATCAATAAACAGTTTAAGATTCACAGTAAATACAATATCCCCCTCTTTGCTAAACTAAATTCCTTTACTTAAGAAAACTTTTACTTAGTTTGTTCTCTATGATCATATTAACATATTTTTATCAGTAAAACAGGACATGACAATAACCGCCCCTCTGGCATAAATTGCAATGAAGAGAACAGAACAGAATAGAACAGAATAGAATACAACAGAACAGAATACAATAGAACAGAATAGAATACAATAGAACAGAATAGAATACAACAGAACAGAATAGAATAGAATACAACAGAACAGAATAGAATAGAATAGAACAGAATATAATAGAATAGAATACAACAGAACAGAATACAATAGAACAGAATAGAATACAATAGAACAGAATAGAATACAACAGAACAGAATAGAATAGAATACAACAGAACAGAATAGAATAGAATAGAACAGAATATAATAGAATAGAATACAACAGAACAGAATAGAATAGAATACAACAGAATAGAATACAACAGAATAGAATAGAACAGAATACAACAGAACAGAATAGAATACAACAGAACAGAATAGAATACAATAGAACAGAATAGAATAGAATACAACAGAACAGAATAGAATACAACAGAACAGAATAGAATAGAATACAACAGAATAGAATAGAATAGAATACAACAGAACAGAATAGAATAGAATACAACAGAACAGAATAGAATACAACAGAATAGAATAGAATACAACAGAACAGAATAGAACAGAATAGAATAGAATACAACAGAACAGAATAGAATAGAATAGAATACAACAGAACAGAATACAACAGAACAGAATAGAATACAACAGAATATAATAAAACAGAACAGAATAGAACAGAACAGAATAGAATAGAATACAACAGAACAGAATAGAATACAACAGAACAGAATAGAATAGAATACAATAGAACAGAATAGAATACAACAGAACAGAATAGAATACAATAGAATAGAATACAACAGAACATAATTGAATAGAATACAACAGAACAGAATAGAATACAACAGAACAGAATAGAATAGAATACAACAGAACAGAATAGAATACAACAGAACAGAATAGAATACAATAGAATAGAATAGAACAGAATATAATAGAATAGAATACAACAGAACAGAATAGAATACAACAGAACAGAATAGAATAGAATACAACAGAACAGAATAGAATACAACAGAACAGAATAGAATAGAACAGAATAGAATAGAAAATAATAGAATAGAATAGAACAGAATACAACAGAACAGAATAGAATACAATAGAACAGAATAGAATAGAATACAACATAACAGAATAGAATACAACAGAACAGAATAGAATAGAATACAACAGAATAGAATAGAATAGAATACAACAGAACAGAATAGAATAGAATACAACAGAACAGAATAGAATACAACAGAATAGAATAGAATACAACAGAACAGAATAGAACAGAATAGAATAGAATACAACAGAACAGAATAGAATTGAATAGAATACAACAGAACAGAATAGAATACAACAGAACAGAATAGAATACAACAGAATAGAATAAAACAGAACAGAATAGAACAGAATAGAATACAACAGAACAGAATAGAATACAACAGAACAGAATATAATAGAATAGAATACAATAGAACAGAATAGAATACAACAGAACATAATAGAATACAATAGAATAGAATACAACAGAACATAATTGAATAGAATACAACAGAACAGAATAGAACAGAATAGAATAGAATAGAATAGAACAGAATAGAATACAACAGAACAGAATAGAATACAACAGAACAGAATATAATATAATAGAATACAATAGAACAGAATAGAATACAACAGAACAGAATAGAATAGAATACAACAGAACAGAATAGAATAGAATAGAATACAACAGAACAGAATAGAATACAACAGAATAGAATAGAATAGAACAGAATAGAATAGAATACAACATAATAGAATAGAACAGAATAGAATAGAATACAACAGAACAGAATAGAATAGAACAGAATAGAATAGAATAGAATACAACAGAACAGAATATAATACAACAGAACAGAATAGAATACAACAGAACAGAATAGAATACAACAGAACAGAATAGAACAGAATAGAATAGAATAGAATACAACAGAACAGAATAGAACATAATAGAATAGAATAGAACAGAATAGAATACAACAGAACAGAATAGAACAGAACATAATAGAATAGAATAGAACAGAACAGAATAGAACAGAATAGAATAGAATACAACAGAATAGAATACAACAGAACAGAATAGAACAGAACATAATAGAATAGAATAGAACAGAATAGAATACAACAGAACAGAATAGAATACAACAGAACAGAATAGAATAGAACAGAATATAATAGAATAGAATACAACAGAACAGAATAGAATAGAACAGAATAGAATAGAATACAACAGAACAGAATAGAATAGAATAGAATACAACAGAACAGAATAGAATACAACAGAACAGAATAGAATAGAACAGAATACAACAGAACAGAATAGAATACAATAGAACAGAATAGAATAGAATAGAATAGAATACAACAGAATAGAATAGAATACAACAGAACAGAATATAATAGAATATAATAGAATAGAACAGAATAGAATAGAATACAACAGAACATAATAGAATATAATAGAATAGAATACAACAGAATAGAATAGAATACAACAGAACAGAATAGAATAGAATAGAACAGAACAGAACAGAATAGAATACAACAGAATAGAATACAACAGAACAGAATAGAACAGAATAGAATAGAATACAACAGAACAGAATAGAACATAATAGAATAGAATAGAACAGAATAGAATACAACAGAACAGAATAGAACAGAACATAATAGAATAGAATAGAACAGAACAGAATAGAACAGAATAGAATACAACAGAACAGAATAGAATAGAACAGAATATAATAGAATACAACAGAACAGAATAGAATAGAATAGAATACAACAGAACAGAATAGAATACAACAGAATATAATAGAATAGAATACAACAGAACAGAATAGAATAGAACAGAATAGAATAGAATACAACAGAACAGAATAGAATAGAATAGAATACAACAGAACAGAATAGAATACAACAGAACAGAATAGAATAGAACAGAATACAACAGAACAGAATAGAATACAACAGAACAGAATAGAATAGAATAGAATAGAATAGAATAGAACAGAATAGAATAGAATACAACAGAACATAATAGAATACAACAGAACAGAATAGAATAGAATAGAATAGAATACAACAGAATAGAATAGAATACAACAGAACAGAATAGAATAGAACAGAATAGAATAGAATAGAACAGAACAGAACAGAATAGAATACAACAGAATAGAATATAATAGAATACAACAGAACAGAATAGAACAGAATAGAATAGAATACAACAGAACAGAATAGAATAGAATAGAATAGAATAGAATATAATAGAATACAACAGAACAGAATAGAACAGAATAGAATAGAATACAACAGAATAGAATAGAATACAACAGAACAGAATATAATAGAACAGAATAGAATACAACAGAACAGAATAGAATACAACAGAATAGAATAGAATAGAATACAACAGAACAGAATAGAATACAACAGAATAGAATAGAATACAACAGAACAGAATAGAATAGAATACAACAGAACAGAATAGAATACAACAGAATAGAATAGAATACAACAGAACAGAATAGAATAGAATAGAATAGAATAGAATAGAATAGAATAGAACAGAACAGAACAGAGATGAGTAGTTAGTTTCTGACCGAGTTCTCCAGGTCCATGTAGGGCGTGTTGCACCTCACAGAGGCGTCTTCTACATGCTGGCAGTCCTCTGAGGTTATGTTCTTAAAGACACAGTTCCACATCGACTTCTCCGTCCCCAGACACTGGACCTCATTCATGTGGATAGGACCCATCCCTAAAGACACACACACACAGACACACAGACAGACACACACCAGTGGTGGGCGGTGCCGTTTAAGATGAGGGAGGATGATATTCTTTTTAAATGAACATGGCCTTATTTCTATTAAAGCATATTGGATGACTGTCATTCATATTCCATTCACCCAGT